CTGCTGATTTGGACTGGCTCATCTCCTTTTTCATCATTACCGTTTTCCACCTGTTTGAGTTGGCCCCACCCTTTGCGGAATTACTGCTGCTTATTTTGAATCAATTTACTAATACAACTACTAACATTGCTAATCACTAACTACTTATTTATTAATATTTGTAATAAAAACGTAAAATAATAAAGTGCGCAATCCCGCGTTAGAGTAAAAAAATTAATAACTAAAGAATTTACTGATTTTCATTTTTAAAGTTGTAACAAAATGTATACATTAACATTTTTGTCCTTATTTAACAAAATTCATTAATAATTATTTTGAATACCACTACATATAAGTGATTTAAATAAATGAAAAAAAATTCTACCGATACTCTTTAAAAAAATCTTGGCATAGTTAAATTAGTTTTTGCTAACAATTGATTACTTACACTTCAAGCAGAAGATCACGGATACCAACACATGTAACCTATGATGTCAGCACTAGATGATCGTTTTTATTTTATTTTATAATCGTCGTTGAACAGCCGACCCAATTTTTGAGTTTACGACTACTATTGTACAACTCCGTTGCTTTATAATTTTGAACCTAATCCAGATGACAAAGAACAACCTGGATCAAGTATTAGGAGAAATTTGCCTGCGAGGCGGACTTTTTCGATGGAACTAACCCGTGCTTGCTCTAATCGAGAGGTAAATCACGAAAACCCCCACTGTTTATCTTACGGCAAGGGAACTCATTAGCCATCGGTGGGATTCGCACCCGGTTCACCTCATTAGAGGGCGAACGCTCAATCTCTGGAGTTACCACGTGATTTAACAGAACGTGATGCCTCATGCCACGTGATTTAACAGAATTACTACAAAGGATCGCAGCAGCATTCGCTATCATTAATCATGATAAGTTGCAGTGAGTATGGCTCACTTGAAGCCTGCTGCATCATCAAAGGTTCACATATTGAACATTCGTGGGGAAAAAAGTGATTACTTTTCTTTCATCAGATAAAGCAAAATTTGTTGGTGATATTTTGTTATGGTCTTTTAAGCCCCGAAATGAATTGTAACATATCATTTATATGTATTTCGTTATACATACAAATATATGTAGATTTGTAATTAAATTGTTTACTAGTACATTTAATAACTATTGGGTATCAAATTTGCTATTACAAAATTGGTATTTTGCACCACTAAAAAGCTTTAAACCACTGACTATATAAAAAAATAAAACTACTGGAAAAATTCTAAAATTTATTTGCACAGTAAGTATTAAAAAAATTGCATTTTTATAACCGAGTTAAATAAATTAGTTTTTAAAAAGTATTGAAATATGGATAAAAAGTCTTACATGAAAACAAATTTTTAAAAAGATACGTACCGTCTACTTCATCCATGCCTGTAATCTGTAAATAAGAGTAACAGCAATTTAAATTTCCGCTCATTCACTTTTTCTTATGTCCGGTACGTCAGCGGTATACTTCCTTTTTTAAGAGACGTAATTTCCCTTTCGATTCTAATTTTGGTGCAAAAAAAGAATTCTCTTTCTTATTCAGGTCGTTTAATTTCAAAATCGGATACAATTTTCTAAACAGAATATTCGATAAATCAATCTTAATTTATCTATTACCTGTTTTCATGCTTAGATTCGCTTGATGAGTGTATGACAAGTTATAACCTCTAAAATTATAAATGATATAATAGTTCATATATGAATATAAATGATTTATAAACTAATTTTGTGAATAAAATTCTATTCATTTACTAAAAGCTCAATGAAAACAAGAAATTTAATGTTTCGGGTAAACTAAGTAGTCTTGCCCCGCTATTCTCAAAAGACGGCTTTTTCATTAAATTTGTAAGAAAATTTATAACATCAAAATTAATGTTTTGCATAAATACAAGGACTTCTTTGAAATATCTTAAACATAAGTAAAACGTTACTAGCCAGATAAGGGAGTTTGAACTTTTATTTTTACGGATAATTTTATTTTATAACCTTTTGCAGCTACCACTATGAGTTCAATTCCATAGATTTGCAATTTTAAACCAAATCCAGAAAAGGGAACCTCTTAAAAACTCAGAGATGCCAACGTGCTCCGGAAAGCAAATAAATATTTTAAAGTGGTAGTTTATTGATTGTGACTCTTGGTTTAATAAATTCAATTTAGTAGATTTTTATCCACTTGTATATCTAAATAATTTATAGGCTAATAAAATTCACCACGTTATACCTTTTAAAAAAACAAGAAAAAATAGTCAAATATTTGCAAAATTTAGTTTGTAGTTATCGACCGTTTTTTTTTTTTTTTAAATATTATTTTGGAGTGTCCGGAACAGTTGGCTTCTCTGTAAACTGTGTGAAAACCCCCTACGGTCAACCTGACGGCAAGAAGACTTCGTAATCTATTTACCTCTGAGGATATTTTACGTCAACACTGTGATCGGTGCGATCCGAATGCGGAAATCTTATCGACTAGAAGTCACTGGAACTTGAGCCCAGTTCACTTCATTGGGTGGCGAGTGCTTTATCCCCCCCTCGAATCACCACGGCTACAGATGCTATACCAATACTCCGCATTCAATTACCTGAGATGCTGTTTTACAATACTCTTTGTAAACTCATCTGAAAAAGATAGTGACTGAACCGCTAGGGGGAGCTGGGAGCAAGAAAAAACTAACAATGATTTTAATCATCTTTAATTTTGTTGTTGTTAATTTACGTCGCACTAGAGCTGCACAGTGGGCTATTGGCGACGGTCTGGGAAACATCCCGAAGGATGATCCGAAGACATGCCATCACAATTTTGATCCTCTGCGGAAGTGATGGCACCCCCGCTTTGGTAACCCGACGACCTGCGCGCGAAGTCGAGCACTTTACGGTAGCACAGTTTAACGAGGACCAATACCGCACACCCTCGGTCCCTACGCAGACTGATCCAAGTGGTCACCCACCCGCACACTGACCGTAACCAGTGATGCTTGACTTCGGTGATCTGCTGGGAACCGTGTCTTAACGATCAGTCCACTGCGGGACCTTTAATTTTCAAATAAATTGAATATGGATGCTTTTTCTTTTTTCCGAAGTATGTCTGAAATTAAGTAAAAAACAAAAAACTTCGACCTCGCCATATCAGAAACCCCATTCTAGGGTTATTCTTGAATTAATATAGAATATCTATGATAATACAGCAATTTAAAATAATTTTGCAATTAACTTCTTTAAAAAAAAGTAATTTAGTATCACACCTGTTTTTTAGATTTTTGAACAAAATCTTTACTTCAGTACAACTTACGTTAGGGGAATTTTTCAGATGCAAGCTAAATAGGTTTTTGTTAGTTTAAAGAATAAATTTTAAAAAATATTTATATAACAGACAAATGCGGATTATAAAATTATCGACCGCACCTTAAAAAGTTAAGCAAAAAAATCCACAGAAGTTCCAAATTGACCAATTGTCGGTAGGGCGCTGGGCCCATATCCAAGAGGTCGTGGGTTCGATCCTCGCCGGCCGAAGACTCCCCGTGTAGTAAATGGTGACTGATGCACGTTAAATCTGTCGAGTCTCAAAGTCCTCTATGTTCCCACAACAAATCAATACCTCTGGGGGTTCCTTGTCTTCTGGATTGGTTCAAAATTACAAGGCTACGGAGTTGAACGTAAGTAGTCGTAAACCCATGAACTTGGGTCGGCTGTTCAACGACGGTTATAAAATAAAATAAAATCTAATAAAGCGAAACCTTTATAGATCACTTTTTTTATAGGCATTTTGCCGTTTAATATATGCTCAATCATCAAAATATTTCCATCTTAACAGTAAAAAAGAAAAAATTAAATATGACGAGGCAAGAGTCTTCAAAAATAACCAGGATTCCCATAATTTTTTTTCAGCTTTGATAGGCAAGTGTTAGGTCAGTTTCACAACAAATATTGATTTGATTATTTATGCACAGTTTACTTAAGAAGAAAGAAAAAACAATGTAATTTTTGAAACTTATAAATTGAATAAAAAACAACATACATTACCTTTTATATTTTGAAAATTTTACTACAAAACAGAAAGAACATGTACAGTGCNAAAAAAAAGGAACACCCTAAATAACTTTTGATCTAATGATCGGATCTTCTTAGGACTCAACCTTAATGGTTCGAGAGAGTGAACGCAAATAAGATGGTTGATTGGTGTAGACCAGTGCTTCCCAAAGTGTGGTACGCGTTCTTATGCGAAATATCTCGCAACAAACGAAAATTTAAAAAAATATTATTTAAAAACAAAGTTGCAACTAAAATCTACGATTACGTATTTTTCTATTGGCTATTTTTTGTAGAGTTAACAGTTAATAATTAGTGGTGTCAACAGCTATAGTGATTTTGAACGTTAGTGCAATTTTTTATACTACAAAATAAATTTTTTTATTAGTGGTACACAGCATTACAAAAAATTTAGAAATGGTACAGAAAAGTCATAAGTTTGGGAACCACTGGTGTAGATGATACTCTAAAAGTTACGAAATCAGACACAAAAACGTATTTTATATGAAAAAACATACTTTTTTTTAAAGAAAAAACAGATTTGGATTTCTGACCCCCCCAAAAAACAGGACATAACCACAATCTGGTGGCAAATATGGCCCTAATAGTCAGGCGAACGATTCATAGTTTGGACCCCTTAATCTTCATTTTACTTTTTGCATATTTCGAAACATTTCAAGAACGTTTTAAGCGAGTTTAACAACATTCTTGCACACAATTATAAAATTGGTTGATTGAAAGAAAATTCCATGCAAAAATTAATTTTACTAAATATTTACAACCCTTTACTATTTTATTAAATAATAGTCCAAAAAATTTTGAATTGTAAGGTACACAGGTTTTTACAATATTTTTAAGAATGCAATTTTGAGCAAAATCGGCTAAACAGTTCCTGAGAAATCTAATTTTAAAGAAACCATATATTTAAAATTTACCAACTTTAATAATTTACTTAAATAATTACAAACACTTCATAGGTAGTCATTTTAATTTATTTCAAATATTATAATTACAACTAATGTTTACAGTTATAGAAGATAACAAAAGTTAAATTTTTTCAGCAAGAGAAGAAAGCAAAAACTTTTATATTATATTGCAATGGAAATAAAAACGTTCACCAGTTTCATCTAAAAATTGTTGTACTAATAAAAAAACCATTTTCTACTTAGCATTTGGCACTAATTCTATTCCAGAAAGCAGCTTAAAATTTTTAACAATCAGATTTTTGGGAGTGTGCATTACAATACTCTTATTAGAAAATAAGAAAAGGATGCACTACACTATAAAAATATGTTAATGGAAAAATTTATAGAGAATAATCTATGAACACCAAGAAAAATGGCAGAATTTTAATTCACACAATCACAACAAATATGACACAGTAAAAAGAATAAAATCAAGGTACTGAAAAGCACCAAAAAGATATAAAATACATATGTGCATATTCTTCATAAAGTACAACAAGATAGGTATAACTAAGAACTTGGAAATATAACCCAATTATTAGCTACCAATTTCAAAAGAATAAAAAATCAGAAAAAAATTAAGTGCAAATTATTACCCAACTCAAAAAATATTCTACACATTGAGAATTCCAGAAATTTCTAAAAAATAAAAAACTTAATTATAACACAAAATTATTTACCCAACACAAAATAAACAATCAAATTAAATGCAATACTCTTTATTTATGTTCGAAATAAAATAGATTTCACTACAACAAGTGTTATTTTTATTATATTCCTTAATTCGTAATTTTGATTTCAAAAATATTAATTGATTTTAGATAGAGGAAACATATTTTGAATGAAGAAATTGAACACTTAAACTCATTTCAGTATTAGATTAAATTTTAGTAAAAGATAATAAATTCATTATCTATCAAGTAATAAGCTAAATAAGAATGATTTTTATATAGATGTTTAAAGAAATTTTTTTAAATAAAAAAAAAAACAGAAATAAAGTTTTATTAAACTAAAAGAAACTGATCACCATACTATAATTTTAAAAAATGTGGACTTTAATTCTACAATATTTGTTAATTTCCAATTACAATAAATTTAAAATCTTTTACAAAAACATACAGATTAAAAAAAAAAGTTCGATTTGAAATGATTGAGCTGATTCCCTTCATAATCAATGCACATAAATTTTACAGTTGCTTCTTTAATAGCTGCACAAGTTTTGGAATTATATAATTAATTATATTGAGCATTACAAAGAGGAAGTTGAAACGAAACAAACTTCTTAAACCACTTGAATTGTACATTTATATAACTCAACTATTTTATGTAAAATAATCTTAATTCAAGCAAAAAAAAAAAAAACTTTTTTTTAAAAAATTGAAGATGTACAGAAAAAAAAATCAAACACGGCAGATCAACTAACGTGCTAGTTTCAAAATAGAAAGTAAAGAATGGTGATGCATGCTTTTCTTTATTTACAGAAAAATTAAAACCTTCACTACTCCTTTTAATAACCAAAAGAAATCATATAAAAAATTCTTGAATATTTGAAGATGAAAAAAAGATTTTTCAGTAAAAGCAAAAACTACGTTAATTATAATCATTAGCATAAATAAAAATTAGGACGTTAATTTCTATTTATTATCTATGGAACAAAATGTGAGACTTCAGACTAAAAAATATAAAAACCACACTACTGACAGCATATTAGTAATTTTAAAAATTAATGGATGAGATTCAAATTTTTTCTTTTTTAAAAAAAATTTAAATTTAGTTAGTTCTAATATTCTTCGCCTTCATCTTCAAAGTTATCCGTTGAATCAAGACCAACTTCTTCATAATCCTTCTCAAGAGCAGCAAGATCTTCTCTTGCTTCAGAAAATTCACCTTCCTCCATACCTTCTCCAACATACCAATGGACGAAAGCTCGCTTTGCATACATAAGATCGAATTTGTAATCCAACCTGGACCAGGCTTCAGCAATAGCTGTAGTGTTAGACAACATGCAAACAGCTCGAGGAACTTTTGACAAGTCTCCGCCAGGAACAGCTGTAGGGGGTTGATAATTGATGCCAACCTAAATACAAATATATGGTAAAAATATTAAAACCAACTTTCAAGGTATCATTTTACGCAATATTTAAAACAGATTAAAAACTTCAAACTGCTCATAGAAAATTTTTGCTACTGATTGATATAATGCAAATTGAAAACTTATAAATGACAACAAAAAAAATTGCCTTGTACTTCTGTGAAGTACTTAAGTAAAAATATATATGAAATCACAGATGGAAATATTCTTTGTTGTTGTTTATTTACGTCGCACTAGAGCTGCACAATGGGTTATTGGCGACGGTTTTGAAAACATCCCAGAGGGTGATCCGAAGATATGCCATTACAATTTTGGTCCTCTGCAGAGGGGATGGCGCCCCCGCTTCGGTAGCCCGACGACCTGCACGCAAAGTCGAGCACTTTACGGTAGAACAGTTTAATGAGGACCAATACTGCACAACCTCGGTCCCTACGCAGAGTGATCCAAGTGGTCACCCACCCGCAGCCTTATGCTTGACTTCAGTGATCTGCTAGGAACCGCGTCTTAACGATCAGTACACTGCGGGGCGGAAATATTCTTTAAATCGTCTTTCTATTTTTATGTTTTTATTTTGAATATTTTAAAATTTAGACAGAAGAAATAAATAAAAATCAGCCTAAATGTTGCAAATCATTGATTTTACGGTATATATAGCAAAAAAGTTTGATAAATTTATTACAAGTTTAATAAATTTATGCAATTCATAACATATAAATTTGTACATTCTTTAGCCCTTATAAATTAAAATATGCAAAAATGAACAAATGTATTAATTATTTCAAAGCAGAAAAAATGCTTTCACAATAAATTTTTAATTTGTTATTAGAACAACTTTAAATTTTGGATATAAGCCAACAAACTCTTTAAAGACTTTTCAAGCAAAACACCTAAGATTTCTCCCACAAGTAAATCACTAATTTGATTTTCAATGTAAATATATTAACTAACAAAAGTATGTAGCATTAGACAATGATGGCTAAGTATATGATTAGAATTATTGAGCTTTAAAAAGGTAAAAAAACAAACAAAAATGCCAGTATTTATTTTTGAATTAAAATTTTTAAAATATAAAATCTAACCAAATTACAGAAATTTAATAAAATATATTTCTCTGTGGTTTTCTGTGCTCTAATGTAAAGGTAAAATCACAGTAAAACATCTATATATTAGTTTAAAATATTCAAATGTATTTTTAAACAATATTTAATAATAAATTTTTAATTACTAGCATTACATGTTTTTATTTAGCTACTAGAGCCCCAAAACTCTTAAAACAAGCAAAGCACATGTTTTCATTAAAAAAAAAGCTTAAGAATTGACTATAATACTACATTCTAAAGAGAATGTTAAATTGCAACTGAAACCCACCAAAACAAACATCAGTAATTTAAAATGTAGAAAAAATGAGGTCATGAAAATCATTAAATTTGAAAAGCTTTTTTTAAAAAAAAAAAATCTGAAGGACAACAAATTATGGCAGGATAACACAGAAGAGCACTTATTCTGCAATAATGTTTTATTTCGAAACATTTTCAGTAGTACTTTAAACTTTATGGTAAATTCTAGGTTTACCTGATTTTACTTTTCACTAAACATTACTAACGCTTACAACGTCCTCTTAATAACTTAAATACAGAGTGATTCTAAGCAAAATAAAATTTTTTAAAACTATAAATATTGTCAAGGAAAATGAACTTTTCTTTAAATTTATGACAATTATATTTAAACCACTCACATACATATAGATATTTTATAATTACAAAAATAATTTTTACTAAAAAAAAAAAACACGTGAGATCAAAATTCAACATCATGCAAAACAGTAAGCATTTACACAAAATTAAGAAAAAAATTAAATTTTGAAAAACTTCCCTAAAAACTGGTTATACTTTGTTTTACTTCCTAGGGAAAAAATCTAAGTATATTTTCTTTTACTTAAGGAAATTATTTGGAGTATAGCCATGAAGAAATATAAAAATCTATTTAATTTCAAAAATCCAATACCTTAAATAAACATTTTATTACATAACAAATTGACTTCTATAAGGATTCATGCTTCAATACCATTTTGTTATCAATTCAAATACACAAAATTAAAATACTAACCGAAAAATAAAAAACTAACCTTGAAACCTGTAGGACACCAATCAACAAACTGAATTGAACGTTTTGTTTTGATGGACACAATGGCTGCATTAACATCCTTAGGCACGACATCACCTCTGTAGAGAAGACAACATGCCATGTATTTTCCATGTCGTGTGTCGCACTTAACCATCTGATTAGATGGTTCAAAACAAGAGTTGGTTATTTCTCCAACAGTCAGTTGCTCATGATATGCCTTCTCAGCTGACATCACAGGAGCATAAGATACAAGAGGGAAGTGGATACGAGGATATGGGACCAAATTTGTTTGGAATTCAGTTAGATCTACATTCAAAGCACCATCAAACCTTAAGGAAGCAGTAATTGAAGACACTACTTGACCAATCATTCTATTTAGATTTGTATACGTAGGGCGTTCTATATCCAAGTTTCTGGTGCAAAGATCGAAAATAGCCTCATTGTCTACCATGAAAGCACAGTCTGAATGCTCCAGGGTGGTATGGGTTGTGAGGATTGAATTGTAAGGTTCAACGACAGCCGTAGATACCTAAAAATAGATATAAACAAAGGCAAATTAAATATTGATAAAACTGAAATCACTTGAGTGATGCAGTCAAGGTGTTTTGAGATAAAATTTTCTTTACCGGAGATCAAAAATTAAATCATTTAATAAAAAAAAATATCTGTTTCATGAGAACTATTATATGGCCCTAAGTAAATCAGTAATAAATAATATTCTAAAAATAAACTCAAAACAAATAAATGCAAATTTCCTTATTTTCTTTCAAATTATGAGAATAGAACTTCTAAATTTTACTTATTTCACTGTACCCAAGATCACTTTGGTCCAAAAACACAAAAAAGCATTCTCGGTACCATAGACCCTACTAGCTTATTATAATATACCAATGATAAATTTAAGAGCATTTTTAACATAGATTTAACAAAAATTTGGATATTCACTTCCTTGAGGAGGTGGTTTCGATGGGGGAAAAAAATCGGGAACTTTATAAAAATAGCAATTCTTAAATAACCTCCTGTATTTAGAATGAAGACTTTATCGTAAGCAACAAAGCTAATTCTTTCATCCTCTTTTTATCTTCATGGATCACCCCCGTGAAACCTACGCTGATGAATATTTTCATAGAAAAAAAACAAAAATTTCGTCATAAAAAAAAAAATTCATGTCGATTATATTTTAATACAAATTTATCTTTGAATAGAAAAATATTTACACTTTAAACATTTTGTTAAGCTTAAATACCTTAGAGCAAACAATTATCAATTTAGCATAACAGCTAAATTAATTAATTGCAGCCGAATCGCTGTTGCCATTTTCTCATAATTACAAATTAATCAGAGCATTGACTGAGTTGTTCAGAATCTTTTTATATCATTAATAGCAAAATAACAAATAAAATATGAAGAGAAAATCAAAAAGGGCCTTGGCGGCGGAATGATACAAACTTGCAACATTGCCCTTTTGGTGAGAAAACTCCGATTTATGAATCTTAATGTCATGTCAGAATGAATATTAAAGATAAAATAAAAAATATATATTTCAAACAAGTAATGGAAGGAAACGATAAGTCAACAGATTGAGTCAACATCCTGCACCATTTAAAAATTATATATTTTGATTACTGCATTGTTTATTAGAACCAAGTCTTGTAAAATCAAATGAAAGATGAAAAATAATTGTGAACATTCAAAACTCTACCAGTCTGTCCAGACATTTTGTAAAAGGTCCATTTTTGTAAAATTGTGAAAAAATTACTCGTAATTTGTGAATGTGAAATAAACGTTAAGTTGCATTCTTTCAACCAGGGTCCGCTTTTGTGAATTTGTGCAAATAGGGTCTGTTATTGCAAAAAAACTTTTTTAAGGAGTTTTTAAATTGTAAAAACATAGAAGATTATGCTCAACACTGTAAAATTATAATTAAAAAAATTAAAATTTAAAAAATAAACAGTAATTGCAGCTACAAAGTTAGCAATGCAACATATAAATATTTGGTATTTAGCCTATACTGCTGTATGCAGAATATTCATTTCGGACGAATAAAGGAAGCGTCTGAAGAAGACAAAACTTAGTTCATTTACATCTGCTACATTTACTAGCATTATAAATTAAAACAAAAAACATGTTGAATAAGAAATTAAAATCTTCAAATAAATTATTTCGAAACTCTCATTGCAATTTATGTTCTGAACATATATGACAATCAACAAATACCTGGACAAAAAGTAAAAAATTAGGACAAAATATTTTATATCAGAAATATTGGGATAACTATTTACAAGGGCCTGTTTAGAAGAAATTTGGGTACCATCTTTTTACTTTACAAAAATCACATCATTAGTAGTTATTAAAATTTCTAAACTGGGAGGAAATATGATTAGCGGAATGTTATTTATTGTACAGTGTGCTAAACAAGAAACGATCCATCGTGAATAACCTTTGATCTAAATGATTCAATTCTCATGTTTTAGGAGTCATTCTTAAAGGTTCAAGAGGATGACTTCAAATATGTTAATTAGGGCAAACTATATTTTAAGTTACAAAATCAGGCACAAAATGTACTTTCACTGAATAAACACACCTTTTTATCAACAGATTTGAATCACAAACTCCCATAGTAGCCACAGTCCAGAGAATATGGTCCCCATAATTTGTTCAAGGGAGAGATCAAAATTTTAGAACCTTAATTTTACTTTGACGTACTTTACTATATCAAGAATATTTTGGGTGAAGTGAAAAAATTTTGCACACAATTATAAAATTTGTTTGTCCGAAGATAATTCCAAGCTAAAATTAATTTAGTAAATATTTATTAGATTATTTAATAAAAGTCAAGAATTGTTAGGTACCGTATATTCCGACGCATAACGTGCCCCGGCGTATAAAGCGTACCTGTAATTTCTAATACTTTTTTGAAATTTTGTGGGTAAAAAATGTCTGGCAAATCTGTCCTGGTTGCGTAAGAAAACCAGAAAGCCTTTTAGTGTGGGACATGTTCAGGTCCCACCTTACAGATAATACGAATTTTTTTTTTTTTTAAAGAATGTAACACCGATATGGCAGTTATTCCGGACGGATTGACACCATTCAGGGTGCATAGCCAAATCTTTTAATCAAAAATAAGCACTTTTTAAAAACTTTTCAAGCACTTAACAAAGATTTTCAAGCACTCAAAAAATTCATATTCAATCAATGATATTATTGAAACAGTTTTAGCGTTAAAAAAAACCCAAAAAGAAACGGGCGTAAATCAAAATAATCAGTACTTTCCCACATCACCGAGTGAATTCAACTTGACCCTGAACTCAGAACAAAAGTACTCTTACCCCCTACGTCAAAAAAAGTGTTAGAAGTAAAATGAAATAAACAAGAACAAAATTAAAATAAATTAAAAAGAAAAACATTTAATAACGATCTGATATTCTCTATCCGAATTAGAGCACTCGGGTTTCGGTTTCAAATGTGCGCGCATGCGCAAGTCATAACGTGGGTACGACATTAAGTCCGCGTGAATGATTACGTAGCAAACTCCCTATTTTTCGTGAAATGCATGGGATCCACCAGATATCACTGAAGGGGAAAAAAATTATTCGAAAAAAAANATTATATGGCGCAGAAACCTGGAAACAGACTAAGATCGAAATACAAAAATTAGAAACCTTTCAAAACAAATGTTTAAGATTTATTTTTAAAATTTTCTGGCCTTACAAAGAAGTATCAAATCAAAATCTATTAAAGAAAGCTAAAATAAAAACAATAGAAGATGAAATTAAAAAACAAAGATGGGGCTGGCTCGGACATATCCTTAGAATGCCCAAAGAAAAAATTACATCTGTTGCGCTTACATGGGCCCCTGATGGTAAAAGAACAAGAGGAAGACCCAGACTTACCATCCAGCGCATGCTTTTGGGAGAATTAAAAGAATGTGGAATATCTGGCTGGGAGGAAGCAAGATCTATTGCTAGAGACAGGAGGGATATGCTAGAGGCCTTAAGTGCCCAAAGGCACGTAGAGGATAAGGGGGGAAGGGGAATATAATGAACTATTTATGTTTTATGTAATAACGAAAATCAATAAAGTATATAGGTAAAGGTATGTTATTTCTTTAAAATAAAAGTATTTTTCTATATTTAAATTTTTTTAATCTATAATTTTTTATATTCGGCGTATACCGCGCACCCGTAAATTCCAATGTTATTTTTTGTATTAAAAGTGCGCGTTATACGCCGGAATATACGGTATAAATTTTTCTTCTGTTCGAAATTTTTTTAACTTAGCATGACAAAATACAAATGGGGAGATATCGGTCAAAAAATTCGAGAAATCTAATAAATACAGCTTCTTTAAAATTAGATCTCAGAAACTATTCGACTAATTTTACTCCAAAATTTTTTTTGACTATTGTTAAGTAAAAGAAACTAACTTTTTAGTTATATAATTTATACTAAAAGTTATTTTTTTGCTTGGCATAATCTTTAGATATACAAACTTTACAATTATGCGCAAAAACTTTTCAATTTGCTTAAAAAGTTCCTGTTATATGGTGAAATACGTAAAAAGTAAAATTAACATTAAAGGGTCTAAAATTTGAACCGTTCTCCTGTCCAAACTATTGGGACAAGACCTCCCAAATTGCAGTACGATTATTCAGACGAAGTGCGTTTTGTGTCTAATTTTGTAACTTAAAATATTGTCTGCACTTAATATGCATATTTGAGGTCACCCTCTCAAACCATTAAGATTTGAGTCCTAGAATGTGAAAACCAGATCATTAGATCAAAAGTTATTCAGGGTGGTGCATTTTTTATTTTGCGCACTGTACATATACATTTTAGTGGAGACAAAAAGTTTTTAAATTTACATGAAAGTAGGACATATAAATCCTGAAAAATCAGCACCAAAAGGTGCTACTATTAGCAGAAATAATCCCATGTGATTGCCTGGACAAGGAGTTAAGCAGAGATTATATGGCACTTTCCTGGTTGCCACACAAATCTACTTCAAGAATATGCCACAGTTCATTGACAGTGGCAATTGGGAATTAGTGGCAAACCAATCACTCGGCAACCATTAACAATCCATTTTCAATTATTCAAAAAAAAAAGAAAAAAAAAGAAAGGAGAACGTCCTAACCTTAGAGATTGTCGGACATGTTTTATATTAAGGTAAGTCGAATAAAGAGGACTCAAAGATTGGACAGAAGCATGCCTCTGAAATGTAAAAACATCAATTGGTGCCTAAAATACTAGAAACGCAAACAAAAGGTAACAAACTCGCATATCAATTATCACCCAATATAAACACAGTAGGTGATGGAACCATAAGTCAATGTACGTTCTCAATGATGCAACCAAACAATGTAGCCCTGATGGTTCTGCATACAGACCCAGCATTCATTTATATACCCATATGAATAGAGATATGTCACTATTCATAGGGGCAGGCAGAGGCACAGAATATGCACCATCCTGCAAACAGGTTTGGGAAAAATCAGGCAACCTGTTCGCCAAGCATTGCTCGTCTAATTAAAAATAATTATGTTGCATAAAACAATTTTTTTTCTCCAATGCCCACCTGTGTTACCATCTGTCAAACATAACTTTACATGACAATATAAAAGTTAGATTATTTATTTGTCAATTCAAATTGCTTAGTTTTATGAGTGGGTAGTTAAAAATTCAGTTTTATAAATCAAAACAACGTATTTTGATTCTTATAATTTTTAACTCATATTGTTCTCATTCAAGGATTACGTAAAACCAAAAGAATTATCCTTTGTTGTTGAAGAAAAATTGTCAAAATTTTTTGACAATACACTAATTTCATTTTTTAATTATTGTAACGAAATAAAAAAAAACAAACATTATTTTAAGGAGAAGTTCTAAACAGAAAAAAAACAAACTTCTGGAGTATTATTTGGCTCTGAGACTTTCTCGCACTTCTGCGTCTAGGTTGGTCCTTGATCACACCACTGAATAAGCTCTTGTCTGTGATAGGGTGACATGTTTTGTCAGTGATACTGCAACAAGCGCAAAAGCCTTGGCTGTCATGCTGGTGGTCAATATAGTTTCAAACCTTGTTGAACTGGTCCAGCTCAATCTCGAAATTTTGCAAATGACTATATTTTCGTACTTGTTACCTGAATAAGATGTTTGCTTTCATAGATGTTAGTTGCAGACAGTTACTTAAATCTCCCACGAAATTCCGCACTACCGTTCTGAATCCTTTGGTTTCATAGTCAGTGGACTGTAAAGAAATATTAACCAGTGTGTGTGTGTAGCAATAATGCAGTAAAATAATTTGCAAACCTAGTAGGCCATAATCTTTTCTTTGTCAAAGTCAAATATGAGTGGGCATGCATTCCTTCTTCTTACAGGAGGTATTACGATTTTTAAGCTAAAAATAATGCTCAAAATCTAAAATGCAAAATGAGTATGGGGAAACTGCTATGAAGCCTCCGTTTCTATATGTATTATAGGCGTTGCTCTTACTGCCTAGTTGTTACACAATTGTGCTAAAAATCAACCCATGTATTAATCTTTCATGCAAATTTTTACAGTATGGTAAGTCACTTTCCGGGCGTAGCAATTTTAATGGTCAGCAGCAGGGTTGGAGTTTTTGCCGGCAAAAAGGGGTTTTTGCCTGGACAGTGGCAAAAACCTGGTAAAAACCGGCAAAAACTGGTAAAAACCGGCAAAAACCAAATTATCTAAATTGCTGATTAAATATTATTACAAAATACTTGAAACAAATTTAAATCAATCATAAGGAGGTATTTNCTAAAAATCAACCCATGTATTAATCTTTCATGCAAATTTTTACAGTATGGTAAGTCACTTTCCGGGTGTAGCAATTTTAATGGTCAGCAGTAAAATAGGTCATTACAAACTGCAAAATCATGAATAATTCATAAAATAGAAAATCATGTCAGCAGTTTCTAAAAAATAGATTTTAAAGAATACAAATCCCAATTTGTTAAGATAATGTCAATACTAGTTTACTTCAACACCAAAGTAACAAAAATAATTTTTCATAAAAATAATTCTTAGTTAAAAGAAATTTAAAATCTATTACATAATATTATTTTAAGTAAAGAAACAAATTTGAATAAATTGTAATTACATTGAAATAAATTTCAGTTAATATAGAAAATTATTAGAAATATCAAAATTACCTGAGGTGCTGGATATATGGCAAATTCCAGTTTTGATTTCTTTCCATAATCTACAGAGAGTCTTTCCATCAACAGTGATGTAAATCCTGATCCAGTCCCTCCTCCAAAACTATGAAATATCAGAAATCCTTGCAGACCTGAGCATCTTTCCGCAAGTAGCCTAGTTCTGTCGAGTACAAGATCAATAATCTCTTTGCCTATTGTATAATGGCCTCTAGCATAATTGTTTGCAGCATCTTCTTTTCCAGTTATCATTTGCTCAGGATGAAAGAGATGCCTATAAACTCCAGTTCGAATTTCATCGATGACGGTGGGTTCCAAATCCACAAAAATTGCCCTCGGAACATATTGTTGGTTACCGGTATCACTGAAAAAGGTATTGAAAGAGTCATCAGAGGCATCGGGGACAGCATCTCTCGCCATCTGACCATCAGGTTGAATTCCATGTTCTAAGCAATAAAGTTCCCAACAGGCATTTCCAATCTGTACCCCAGCTTGACCAACGTGTATACTGATGCATTCTCTCATCTTGTTCTATATTTAATAAACAGAAAAATAAGAAAATGTAGAAGACAAAAAATTAAAAAAACAATTTAAGTATTACTCAAGAGGACGTTCCATTGCACGAAAAATCATTCATAGCAATTTCTCTTTTATCAAAATTTAATTCAATAGTAATAATTAGTAATTCAAAATTTGAAGTATAGCAAAAGTGAGTTTAGGAAAAAACTTGAGTGAAAAATGAAAAGAAACTTCAAAATACAAACAAGTTATTGCAGGATTACTAAAGATTATGCATTTCGGGAGATATCCTAGATAATTTATTCAGATTTTAACATTTCGAAAACAATTTTTCAACATTTAAAACTTAGTGATTTATTTAAACTAACTATCCTCTGAATTTTTAAATATCTATGGAAGTGAAACAAAATTTGCAGGCAAAAGTTTTTCCTGTAGTATATTGTCACTTTGAAACTTAAGCTTACTATATTCCATGCCTTTACATTTTATTTCTTCCCCTCGTGAAATCAGAAAATAAATCTCAGATAAAACTTTTATCAAAGTTACTAATTAATCATTCCACTCATACTTTAAATAAAAAAACATTTATTCCTTTTTTTTTTTTTTGCCTATTTAAAACAAATCAGCCAAACTGGAAACACCCTTCAATTTTTATTAAGATATAGGCAAATGATAAAATTTAATGTTTGTAATGTTTGAAGGTAATGGTAAGAAATAGACTTCCTAAAACAAACAAAAGCTAATATAATTGAAATAAAGGAATTGTTAGTTCTATCTCAGATTAAGTAATATGTTAATCTAATAACAATTAAGATAGAAAAGTAAAATTGTGCAAGAATAAATGCATATAAAAAAAAAAAAAAAAAAAAAAAAAAAAAAAAAAAAAAAAAAAAAGAAGAAAAAAGTGCACATTACACATTTTAAATCATGGAAATAAATTAAATTTGTTAGAGGAAATAACTTTTTACTCTAGAAAGGAGGACTCACCTATCCACCATATATTAAGGCTTTACTACATGCTAAATTCAACTATGTCATAACAGTTCAAAGAAAGACTTGCATGGCAGCAAGAGGTCCAAAGGACCTAAAGCAAGCTGACATGCAATGTGTCCTCTGTTAGCCTTGAGAATCATGCAATATTTAACACATCCAATAATAAAAACTTCAAAAATTAAAGAGAGCATCCTGCAAATTAGAAAAATATAACAAAATTTAAATTTTTAAAAAGAAATAAAGTAAAACAAAAGCATTAGAATTTAAGGGGAAAAAAGGAAAAATTTAATAAAAAGGTGAGAAATTGTAAAATCTTTAAAGTGAAGCAATGTAGAAAATCTTTCAAATTATCTTGCAATAATGGAATGACAGCAGGACCTAATACAGATTTTACCACTGTTTATTTCACAAGGTGCATAAAGTCTCATTAAACGTGTGGCCTTTAAAAAAAAAATTTTTTTTTTTTTTGCCAAATTGCAAAAATAAATCAATACACATGTATAGTCTGTAGGTCCAATGATTTAAAAATAATTTATATTCACATTTACGTGTGATTCATATTCACTCATTTTAAAAATCACACATTCTTGCTAACAAGATTAAAAATCATATACCGCAACTTCTATTCAACATTTTTAAAACCATACGTTGTGACTCTTCTTGCAATTAAAAAATCACACATTGCCATTCGTAATCAAGCAATTTAAAAATTACATTTCAAGATATAAATTCATGAGGTTTAAAAATCGCATTTAGTACTCAGCCCTTTCAAAGATCATATGCTGTGACCAAGGTTGGGTTTTTGACAAGATGCGTGCAAAAACCTGTTGAAAAGTGTCAAAATCAGTCACCAAACTTGGGGCAATTTCGTTTTTGACATTGGAGACATTAAATTCGACAACAGATCACGCACAGTACTTGTATTATATGCAACTATAATTATAATTTATATCATATTTAAAAAATGTTTCAAAAATTATTGAAACTATTTATTTTTCTAATGGTAATCTTAATACTTTAAGATCCATAAAATAATCGATTTATATTACAGGTAATAACTAGGGGTTGTTAATTATTATTATCAATATAAATATTGATTTTATTTCTTACTTATGCAGATTTTTTGATAAAATAAAATTTAAGTGTTGGTCAATGGTCAATAATTGTCTGATCTCACCGGATAATTTTTGTAAATTTCATTGGTTCCCCATATTTGTTGTGACTAATTATATTCAGGTGAGCTTTGGAGGAAATTCAGGCAGCCAAGGGGAAATTTATTCGAGGTTACCACCTCAAACTTTTAAGATTACCTCACAGAACTTCCTATCATTAAATCAAAAGTTATTTGCGGAGGTACTTTTTTTCTTCTTTCTTTGGCGCGCTGCACACTTAATTCTTTTTAATGAAAAACACAATTTTAAATAACTTAGAGATAGCAGTTTAGAAAATTTTTGGTCTACACCATTATAGTTAAATATAGCATAAAAAATTTTAAATAAAAAATTAGAATTTCAAATAAAAAAAATCTTATTTTTGACCACTCTACAAAACTAGGAATCATAATTCTTTAAAAAAAAAATGTCTTTAACATGAAAATATATTTATGACAGCCAGAAGACGAAAATTACAATTGCTGACCTGAAAATGAAACTTTCTTAGTTTATACCTTTCTTCACATTATTATTAGTTAAAGATATTACAGTCATTTAAGGACAAAGTGACTTAATGCAAATAACACATTTTGATGAAACTGAAGCTTCAACGGTGATGGTTTGAGGAAGGTAAATAATCTTAGAGCTATAAACCACTAATAATTTTGAATGTAGGCAAGATAAGTTTTAGACATGCTGAATAGCACATAATTTTTGCTCAATTTTGTATGTTGTTTATGGGAAGAAAATAAATTGCTCTTTATTTTTCTTTGCCTTACATGTGAATGGAAATTTCTAAAATAGTGGAAAAAATGCTCCCGAAAAAATAACTTTTCTCCTAAATGGAAGAAACTTTCTTAAGAAAGATCAAATATTAAAATAGTTAAAATTAGCTAACTAGTTCAGACATACTAGAAATTTTTAAGAAATTTTATACATCATTTTTAACAATCTGGAAGAAAAATTAATGAATTTGGTAAGAAATCAAAATGGCTGGAATTTGAATCTATCAATATTTAACATAAATTACGAATCCTAGAATGTCACACAGTGGATTCATTGATATTGACATTGGTCGGGAGGGCGATAAAGTTAGCCATCAGTAATTCTCTATTTTGTTCGAAATTTTTTTAATGGTATCGTGGAGATGTTAATGGAATTACGGGAAAAATCAAACATATTGATAGGCTAGATTATATTGGAGTTGGATATTTGATTTCACAATGATTTTTATTTCTGCAGGTGGGAAGAGAACAGTTTTGATCTCGATTAATGTTTTGTTTTACTATGCAAAATGTTTCTGTAGAAATTTTTAAATTGTTGGTATCAGAACTGAATTTCGTGACCTTTATTCCGCTGAATGAATGTTATGGAAGGCATTTTGAATAGAATGTTAAATGTGCGTGTAGTAACAGTAAATTTATTGAGCGGGAAAAGAGTTTCTGATTATGGAGTCAATTTTTTATTGCTGTGTATTTGCATAAATGATTAGCCGTGGGTATAATTTCAAGATATTTTGAAGAAAAGAAATAGGATACACATTTTAAAGTTAAGTGAAAAACTTTAAAGTGATTATCATTGTATCTTTTTCTAGATGCCTGTTTAGCATCGGTAAATAATAGTTTTGTGTCTAACATGTTGAATTTTTTGTCTTGCTCTTTTTATGCTGAGTCACTGAGGTTTTTTCTCAGGTTAAGTGCCACAGTTCAATATATACTTGTCCCATAGACACTACACTAATGTTTTTATAAGGCAACAACTTACGGAATGCATGTCAGAATAAAATTATTGAGGTTTACTTAATGGTGGTTACAAGTATCTTTGAGTTGGTCTGTTTCTTGAATATTTTTTTTAAGTTTTATGCAGGCAACTGCCAGCATGAACTTTACAATTGTTGAGACATAGATACAAAAATCTTCCCTCTGGCAAGAGCATCAGCAAAGAAGGTTAAAAGAGTGCACTTGCACCCTCTTTTAGGAAATTAAGTAAATAATCTTGCAAAAAAAAAAATTTAAACAAAATAAATATTACTTAAATAACGTTAAAATAAAAAAAAAAGTGAAAGATCTATTTCCTTTTTTTGTTTGTATCACATTTAATTTTAAATAATTTAAATTTAAGCAAAGCTTAGTAGATTTTTTTAAATTCTTGAAACACTTTACAAAAAATTCTAATGTACACTAGGCCTGGGCAATATAACGTAATACCGTCATTTACCGGTATTTCTTTGATACCGCGGTAATGATATTCGGAAGTATATTCTTCGGCAATACCGAGTTATTGAACTTCGGTATGCCTGCACCTCTCGGTACTCACCGCTAGCCAATATCTTCGGCGGCGAGGAAGTGGCGGTATGGTATGGTATCTAGGAGGTATTGGTATGGCACGTGATTGATTTAGGGGTGAAGAACTCAAAGGCTTGCGCGTAATATTTACGGTACCTCCTCTCGGCAGCTAGAAATTTCTCCTACAATATATTGTGGTATCATTTGACTTTAAAGCGCATGCGTCATATCCGTGGTATTGGCGATATCGGATTTCAAACACCCGCGCGTTATATCAACCCTCCATGGTATACTTAGTTACTGATTTTGGTTTCATTTTGAGAATAGCGTGCTTCTGATTTTAAAAATATCCGAGATTGTCGGATCTCCTTGTGATGTTTATAATTGTGTTGATATTTATAATTGTTGATGTTTATAATTGTGTTGATGTTTATAACTGTTTTGATGTTTATAATTGTGTTGATGTTTATATTAGTAATTGATGTTTATATTAATAAAATTTTTCTGTTTTAAAATAATGATGCTTTATAATTAGTTGATTCCATGGGATAATTATGCTGCGAGCTAATATAGGATAAGTACCCCATTTTTTTTAAATGATGCTCTTTAAACACATTAATTTTTAATTGCAAAATAGTCTTAGCATTTATAATATACATAACAATTTAATTACCGCGGTATATCATAATATCGTGATATGAAGCTCACAATATACCACAATATCGAAATTCTGACATTGCCCAGCCCTATCAATTCGG